AGAGGAACAACGCCCCCCTTTCCGGGAGCGAAAGCAGAGGGCTTACACGCGCACACAATTCTCATGGAACTCTCAGATAACCGAGTAAGTTAGGTTCTCCGCGGTGGAAAAAAGGACGATGTAAAGTCGAGCGCTGGTCAGGCACGAGGACAGGTCGCCGCCGCCGCGCGGCGGGGCCGCCGCGGCGCGTCGCATCCGCAGGAGCGGCGGAAGATGAGACGGGGCTTCCCGCGGGGGTCGCCGAGGCGCCACTTGCCAGCGGGGCGCGCGCAAGTGTCGCACTTCACCGAGCGGTTGGGGCCGAAGCGCGACTCGTGCGTCAGGTGCGAGGGCAGAGTGGCGCCCTGTTCGGGGGGCCCTCCGCCTCCGCGGCGTCGACGAAGCGGCGCTCGAAGCGAAGGTGGCCCTCGGGCAGCAGATCTGGGGGGGGCAACTCTCGCGCGGGAGACGGGCTCGGCCGAGAGGCACCCGTCTGCAAGGGAGCGCGCTTCTCCGCGGACCTGGTCGACGACCGCGTGGCAGGCGGCCTCGCGCGCGCGTGCATCTAGCATGTCTTCTGCAGGGTCAGGGGGGCGAGGCAGCGGATGCAGCGCCTGCGGCCGCTGCGCTGGCCTGTCGGCCGCAGCGCGGCGGGGTTAGCCGCCAGAGGGTTGGCCACGGCGCGGCCCTCCCATCCGTGGGGGGGGGCGGGCGTCGATGTGCTCAGCGGGGGTCGGCACCTGGGTGACGCCGAGCGGCTCGCGGGGGCCGGGGTCGACACGAATCGCGCGCCCGCGCGCGTCTTTGAGCGGCCCCCCCAGGGCGTCGGGGGGGAGGTAATGCCGGGGGCCCCGAGCCATAGGCGCGACGTGCACGGTTTCTGGACGGGGCATCGGCGGGGGTCGCCGGGGCGCCACTTGCCAGCGGGGCGCGTGCAAGTGTCGCACTTGACCGAGCGGTTGGGGCCGAAGCGCGAGTCGTGCGTCCGGTGCGAGGGCAGAGCGGCGCCCTGTTCGGGGGGGGGCAACTCTCGCGCGGGAGACGGGCTCGGCCGAGAGCTACCCGTCTGCAAGGGGGCGTGCTCCTCCGCGGATCTAGTCGACGACCGTCTGGCAGGCAGCCTCGCGCGCGCATGCATCTAGCATGTCTTCTGCAGGGTCAGGAGTGCGAGGCAGCGGATGCAGCGCCTGCGGCCGCTGCGCTGGCCTGTCGACCACAGCGCGGCGGAGTTAGCCGCCAAAGGGTTGGCCGCGGCACGGCCCTCCCATCCGCGGGGGGGAGCAGGCGTCGATGATGTGCTCAGGGGGGGTCGGCAACTGGGCGACGCCAGGCGGCTCGCGGGGGCCGGGGTCGACACGAATCGCGCGCCCGCGCGCGTCTTCGAGCGGCCCTCCCAGGGCGTCGGGGGGGAGGTAATGCCGAGAGCGCCGAGCCAAAGGCGCGACGTGCACTCGGTTTCTGGATGGGGCAACGGCGGTGGGCGCTGGCTCTCCAGACCGGACCAGCGGACCAGAAGCGCTCGCATACCTGGGCCTTCTCGGCCTGCTGGGGGGGCCAGCCAGTCCCGGAGAGCGCAGTCCCGCGCCTCCTCCGCTCCGCGGAATGCCCCGTGCCCGTCGGAGCAGATGACGAGCTCGCGGACTCCCCGGATGATCCGCGCTCTCAGTGCTGGCCATCATGTCGGGGGTCGCGCCGGAGTGGACATGGGCCCGGGGGGGGCGGAGTTGCCCCGGGGCGCGCAGATGCCGATGGCTTCAAAGAGGTCGCCGGCGGCGGTGGGGTTGCGGATGGGAGGGGGCGCGGCGCGCATGAAATTCGCGGCCGGCGAGGTTCTGCCGGCGCCAGCCGGGGCCGGCATGTTCCAGGAAATCGGTGATCTCATGCGCCTTAAGGAGGCGTGCGCACGAGAGACAAGCGCGGCCCTTGGTGCCAGGGGTGTCCACCATAAGAAAGGCAAGGGGGCCCCCGACCTTGCTGGAGTCTGGTTTGAGAAATCCTTGGGCTAAGGGATCGGGGCCCTCCGCTGGCGGGGTCGGTGAACGAGGGGGGTGGGCCCAAGCAGCTCAACCTCTTCGGCTGCGGGGAACTTAGGGGGGGCATGGGGGTCAGCGCGCCGAGGGAACGCATGGCCGGGATCTTTGTGACCCAGGGCCGCTGGATGCCGGCGGGGGGCGCGCGGCCCTGGTTGCCAATGGCCGACCGGGGGAGATTCTGGCACGAGTAATAGGAAGGGAAAGCACAGTGATTGGGGGTGCATCGATGGGAAGTTGCAGGTTGGTAGAGATGCGAGGGTCCCGCTGGTAGTAGTCGTCAATGCGCCCCATGCTCGAGAGCCCCCACCCCAACGCAGCACACGCGCGCGCGGAACGGCAGCGCGCGGGGAATTGGGCGGGGCCACCGAACAGCCCGACAGAAGAGCCGCACAGGCCAACTAGGCAGAGCTTCTGCCTAGCTGGCAATTCCCTTCTGAAGGGAATTCCCTCCCTTCTGAAGGGAGCTGCAATCTGGCCGCGTAGCGAATTGGCCGCTGCGTCGAGGAGCGCTGCCCCGACGTTGGGTCTTTCGTGCCCAGATTGGCCGCCCCAGACGTCGTACGTCTTTTCCAGGGTGGCGTAGATCCAGCACCCTTGTTCCCCGAGGACGGAACGGCAATCGACTGCGAGGTTCACTGCGCGTGCGGCACGTGCTAGAGGTGCGCAGAAATAAGCGCAAAACGACATGCGCCGCGCCTGTAACACAGACGCGCCAGCAGGCGCTGTCCTGCAAGCGCGGCCGCAACTCTGGCTACGAAAACAGGCTGCGCCACGCTAGTCCCGGGCAGGCTGTGCTGCCCGGCGGAAGGGGGCAAGGACGGGAGAAGCAGGCAGACGACGACGGACGCCCAGGCGGGAGGCCAGGGCCGGCGGGGCGGGCGGGCAGGCAGAAGAGGGGCCAGGCGGGGACAGCAGGCAGGGAGCAGGAGGAACGGCAGGGGAGGGAAGCAGCGAGCAGGAAGAGAGGGAGGAGGAGGAGAAGGAGGGGGGGAGGGGAAGCAACCGCAAGCAAACGGGCCAGGCCAAGGGCCGGGAGAGAAGAGCCACCCGCGACGAGGCAACGGCCCCTACGGCGGCGACCTGGGCGGGGTGGCCGACCGAGCCCAGCACGCTGCGGCTTGGCGGGGATTCCCCTTTGCGGGATCCATCCACCGCCCCGTCGAGGCGAGGAAGGGCTGGAAGGCTCACTGTAGGGGGTTTTGCGAGCGCGGCACGCATGGTCGGGAGTAATCTTCTCGGGCTTGCCTGGGCGACAGAATTTGCTGGCGTTCGCCTCGTCATCCTCATCTCTTCCTCCTCCTCCTCCTCCTCCTCCTCCTCCTTTTCCCCTCTCCCACTTCTCCTCCTTCTCCTTCCTCGTCCTCTTCCTCCTTCTCCTCCGTCTCGTCGTCGTCGTCCTCCTCCTCTTCCTCCTCCTCCTCCTCCTCCTCCTCCTCCTCCTCTCTCCTCCTCCTCCCCTTCCCCTCTCCTCCTACTCATTGTCGTTTTCCCCCCCTTTTTCCGCCTCCCCTTCCTTGTTATCATCCATCCGTTTTCCTTGCTTCCTGTTGTTTCCTCACCATTCACGACCCTGACGCTTGAAATGCGCAGCCGTTTTAATGATGGAGGGCGGGACGTGTTCAAAATGCGGTTCTCGCACCAGCGCCGCGCTCATTCTTGTTCACCTCCATGGATGGAGGGTGGTTTCTTAGTGTATTGTTTTGCTTTGGCGCCGCGCACATTCGGTTGAAAAACTTGCAGCGTTTCGTTGGTGGATGGCGGCCCCTGTACCCAACTGAAAATGTCACATCAGCGCCGCGCACATTCGTCATATGGATTGGGCACGGATTTGTTTGAAAAGGGCGTGTCGCCGTAGCGCCGCGCACACTGGTCAAACAATTTTGCAGCATCTATGCGGGAGACCACGGGTCCATCTCGAAGTGAAGTTCTAGCCCCTGCGCCAAGCACGTTGGTTTGAAAAGCTTGCAGCAGTCCCACGGATGGAGCACAGGTGGTGGTCGTCGTGGTCAAAAGGGTCGCCTCAGCGCCGCGCGCATTCGTCTAAACAGCTTGCAAGCGGGGCTCTCGCCCTGGCGCCGCGCACCTTTTTTTTCGAAGTCTGCGACAGCTCCATGGATGAAGCAAACGTCGTGTTCAAACAGGGACTCGCTGGAGCGCCGCGCGCATTCATTCGAAAACCCGCAGCATCTTCAAGGATGGGGCACATGACATGTTCGAACTGGGGCTGTCACCCACGCGCCGCGCACATTCGTTTGAAAAGTCTGCGACGGTCCCAATGGATGGAGCACAAGTCGTGTTCAAGACGGGACTCGCTTTGGCGCTTCGCTCATTCGTCTTCGAAGCTTGCAGCATTTATAAGGATGGGGCACATGTCGTTTTCAAATGGGGCTCTCGCTGGAGATTTAACTTTCAAGGCCCGAAGCTTCAGCACATGTAGCACTGCACGGATCGAAGGGCGGCCCTTTCAAAGAATGGAGTTATCCGTTGAAACTTCCCCGATCTTCATGTCCACAAGTGTCAATGTGTGTAAACCGTCACGCGGATGGGCGGTGGTCCTTTCTCGACAGGGGGGTATCGTTAGATACCTCGCTGAACCGTGTGGTCATAGTTTCTCGCATTCCTGATTATCCGTCAGGCGATACGAGGTGATTCCTTTTTCATCACGGGACCCTCGCCAGAACGGCAGGCCAGTATGGCGTTGGTCTTGCAACAGTGGCATTTCTTGTAGTGAAGCGGAAAGCCTGAAGGGACGCACTAGGATGGGATTTCGAACAGGAGGATGTATTGCAGCGTCGTTGACACATTTTGAGCTTTCTTTGGTCCTCCTCCCTTCTTCTGCTCCATTTCCTCCTTCATTGCCTCCTCGTCCTCCTCCTCCTCCTCCTCCTCCTCCTCCTCCTCCTCCTCCTCCTCCCCTTTCCCTCCTCCTCCCTCCTTCTCCGCCCCCCCCCCACCTCGAGCTCTCTGAGCACGAACTCCAGACCGCAGGCCTCCGGCAAGTCCACGCTGTGCAGGGCCATCTCAGAGCATTTCCGGATCCCTTGCCTCGGGCTGGACCCGAAGGCCTCGCCAGTTTGCTTTGCTTTTGAGCAAGATGATGAGAAGGAGGATGAGTAGGCGGGAGGTCGAGGAGGGAGGAAGGAGGGAGGAGAGGAGGAGGAGGGAGGAGAGAGGAGGAGGAGGAGGAGGAGGAGGAGGAGGAGGAGGAGGAGGAGGAGGAGGAGGAGGAGGAGGTGGAGGAGGAGGAGGAGGAGGAGGATGAGGACAGGGAAAAGGAGGAGGAGAAGAAGGAGGAGGAGGATGGGCCAGAGCAAATCCAGGATGCATCTAGGTCACCCGTGGGGGCTCAAAGATAACCGCCCTTCGTGCGTCGTGGTCTGGGCCAGCGCGAGGGCGCGGGCGCGATGGCGCGAAGATGATCGCGGGCCTCGCTTCGCTGGACGCGATGCGCGAAGGTAGGTTTCCTAGATGCATCGACGATGCTGTAGTACAACCTTCCGTCACAAGTCCCCTCCTCTTGAATCCGTGCATGTTACAGTGAGGGGACCGAACGGTCATTCATTGTCGCTGGGCGCGTGGCTGATGTGGGATTATATGGCCCGAATTCTTGTATTGTTGGATCCCTATATCCGCCATGTCGCTCTCGCCTCGGCGCCCGCATCCACAGAGACAATAATCCCACTGCGTGCACATTCACAAACCCATGTATGCGCACAGGTATGAAACCAGTTTGCATCACCTCCACAGACCCGTGCATACATACATAGAAAAGTCCGCACACACACGGATGAAGACAACAAGGCATCCAAAGACGCATCATCTAACACGTTCGTGCATCCAGCGATGCATACATGAAAAGAACATCTTGGGGGCACCTTGTGGGACCTGGAGGATCCCTCAAGATCCGTGAGGAGTCCTCAGAATCCCGCAGGATCTTTGGGGAGTCCCCACGGTCCCTCAGGACCCTTCAGGATCCTTCAGGGTTCCTCAGGATCTTTGAGGAGTCCTCAGGATCCCTCGATATCCTTGAGGAGTCCTCAGGATCCCTCAGGTTCCTTGAGGAGTTCCCAGGATCTTGTGGATCCTTGAGGACCCATTCAGGGTCCATCAGGGTTCTTGAGAAGTCCTCTGGATACTTCAGGATCCTTGAGGAGTCCTCTGGTTCCCCCAGGAGTCCTCAGGGTCCTACAGGAGTCTTCAGTCTCCCCCGGGATCGTTGAGGAGTCCTCAGGACCTTGAGGAGTTCTCAGGATACGTCAGGGTCCTTGAGAAGTCCTCCGGATGCCTCAGGATCCTTGAGAAGTCCTCACGATCCCGCAGGATGAGGATTCCTCGGGATCCCTCAGGACCCGTAAGGAGTCTTCAGGGTCCCTCAGGATCCTTGAGGAGTTCTCAGGATACGTCAGGATCTTTGAGAGGTCCGCAGTATCCCTCAGGATCCTTGAGGAGTCCGCGGGGTCCCTCGGGATCCTTGAGGGGTCTTCAGGATCCCTCAGGGTCCTTGGGCAGTTCTCTGGATCCCTCGGGATCCATGACGAGTCATGAGGGTCCTTCAGCATCCTTCTGCATCCTTGAAGGGTCCTCAGGGCCCCCCAAGATCGCTGAGGATTCCTCAGGGCCCCCCATGGTCCAGGAGAATTCTTCGGGATCCTGGAGGATTGCACAGGATCCATCAGAACTTTTCAGGACCTTTCAGGATCCTTGAGGGTCGTCGAGGATCCTTGAAGATTCTTCAGGATATCGCCCCAGGGGTCCTTGCATGGTTGCTTCGGGCAGGGGTCGAATGCGTAAGACCAGAGAGTGCGTCTCCTCCGAAGCGACCGCGACGCCCGAGCGTCGGCGCTGGGGGGTCGGGGGTGGGGGGTGTGAGGGTCGCGGCCCCACGGGTCGGCGGTCCGTGGCTTCACCAACGGGGAGAAGGCGTGAACAGCCGTGCCGTGGGCCAGGCCCGCAGTGCAGGTGCTGACCTTGTCGTTGTACGTCGTCGTGGTCCCGCGGCCCGCGACACCGCCGCCACTCACCCGCGGCCCGCCCCGCGGCCCACCCCGCGACCCACCCCGCGACCCAACCACGATACACTCCGCGCCCAGCCCCCCCCACTTTTATCCGCGACCCCCCCACTTTGATCCGCAACTGCGGTCAGGTCAGGTGAACCGTGCCTTGCGGGGTGCCACATATTCAATGCGCTTCGCGTAACCCCACCAGCCAATCCAGAAGCGATGCCCAGGCGAGTTGCGTTGATCGGGGACATGGAGGAGCATGCAGTCAGTGTAATAAAAGGCCCGGGAAGCCGCCGTACCCCAAGAGGGTGTGGATGGAGGAGGAGTCCGAGGAGCAGGAGGAGGAGGAGGAGGAGGAGAGAAAGGGGGAGGAGGGAGGAGGGAGGATGGAGGACGGAGGATGAGGAAGAGGCGGATGAGGAAGAGGAGGAGGGTGATGAGAAGGAGGAAGAGGAGGAGAAGGAAGAGGAGGAGAAGGGGTGAGGAGAAAGATGAAGAGGAGGAGAAGGAGGAGGAGGAGGAGGAGTGACAGCCGCTGGATATATCAAAGGTAATTTTGATCGTGAATGATTCCTACAAGTCATGTCAGGTATTCATTCATTCAAGCACGAACTGAAGAAAGATGCGCCGTGCTGGGCAAATCAGGTTTCAAGTACTCAGCCTGGCTCTACGAGGGCTCGCGGTTGAGACACCCTTCGGGACAGCATGGCCACATGCTATACCGCGCTTGGTCACGGGCCCGTTTCCCTTTTTTAGATTCGTTCGGGCGTTTGGAGTCTGGATCTCCAGACGCCTGACCTTTGCGAGGCGACCCGCCATTTCATATTTTCACTTGGGCGGAGTCGCAACCAATGGCATCGGAACGACGACTTGCCGGGTTGTGTGGCTGTCCGCTGTGCGGCCCCTGCTATCACGGTTTTTGTGTAGCTGATGTTAGGAGCAGATTCGTCATTTGTCTCCTCCACCTCCGACTTCCAACGGAGGTCAAAGGCGATCAAAGCGAACTATCCGCCGTTGTTGCGGCTCACAGCGGCGCGCAGCTATTATTTGCCCAATCGGTCATTCGTATACGATTGCGTGATATAGACGTACGTCGTAGTTTGATATTGCTTGTCTTACATAATAGCATGTCTGCTATTCTTTACCCACGCTACGTCGTGGCTGGGGTATGGGGATCGTCTGGTAGGATCGATGTATGATGGCTGACCATGCCACTTTCGGTTCGAATGCATAAGTTGATCACATTCAAAGATATGTTCAGCGATCGACACGTTCAGACAAGGAAATTTGCTCTCCGTCCGTGTAGATGTTGCGCAGTTTGGAGTTGGTTGTCGTAGATGCTGTAGAAGTTCAAACCTATCACCGCGTTTTGAAAACGTGCTGGCCTCTATCCTAGTACGTTATGGAAACATCCAAAGCGAATGTGCTCGAAGAGAGGCGACACGCCGTAAATAATGAAAATCCCGAAACGGCTGACTGCGGCGGTACGGCGAGAGCCGCATTTGGCAAACGATCGGCCCCCCATCCGTGCAATTGCTGTTTTTTCTCTTCGAGATAGCAGAACGCTGCGAAATCTCAAGCGAAGCACCGCGCCCAGCCTACGGACATGTTTGGTGGTGCGACAGGCTCCAGGGCAACGTTGGGGAGGATAGGACCACGGGGGATGCATCGACCCCGAATCGCCCACTCATCGCCGATAGGGGCCCGACAGCCCTCCCCGCCCAGGAGCGTACGGATTTGCTTTCGGGGCCCAACGCCAATCTTCTATTGTAGATCGATGTGCGATGTATCGCCGATTCCAGTCGATGTTTCCCCCCCGCTGAGCCGGTCCCCCCTGCAAGTTCCCGTTCACGGGGGTGAAGGTGAATCAGGAAAACGGGTGGAGGAGAGACAGGGCGAGGCACGGCCAGGGAGTGGGTGGCGCTGTGTCCGCTGCCCTGCCCTGCGATCGGGGGCCGCCTCTCGGGCGGCGGGCGGGCCAGACTCACGGGTAAGTTGTCGGTGGCTAGCCACGAGCCGCCAAAATGTTGGCCCTGCTCGCACTGGCGCCGACAGACGCCAGCACTCCTGCGACAAGCGTGAAGAGGAGCACGCCGAGGAGGCGGAGGAGGAGGAGAAAGGCAGATCAGAAGACGCTCTCTTGGGCCGCTCTGGGGCCCCTCTTGGCCCGCCTTGGGGGGCCTCTTGGGCAGTCCCGGGGCCCATTCGAGTCATCCTGGGGCTCCCGAGAGGTCTCTGACGCCACCTTGGGGCTGTCTTGGTCCCCTCTTGAGCCGTTTCGGGACTTTGTTGGGCCTTCCGGGGGCGTTTGTCGCCACAGCTGGATCCGTTTCGAGGCCGTTTTTGGACACGCTCCTGGAGAGGTCTGGAGCCGCCTTTGATACCACTTCCCCGTCCCTGCGTATCCCCCTTTCCCTCACAATCTGCTCCTTCTCACTGCGCCCCCCTCTCCCCTTCCTTTCCTCTCCCGTCCCGAGCTGCTGGCGGAGCACAGTGGGTGATGGAGATTGAAGGTCGAACCCAAGGGACCGAAGGAACAGTGGAGTTGTCGATCCACTCTACCGATCGAGCCATCATGAAGCTCACGGCTGAAACGGAGTTGATGCGGCAGCAGATGAAATTGGTTGAAGGCTTTTTTGGAGTTGTGGTTCGGCGACTATGAGCTGGCGCGCAGGGTCCAGGACATCTTGCCTGCTTGGACGGACCTTATTGCAGGCAGGCACCCCGCGTTGAAGGATGCCTTACGCCGCAAATGTTCCCCTGCGTGCGAGGGCAAAGGGCTTGAGCCTTCTCATTGCCAGCGCGCAGGACATGCGATGGGCGCAGAGAGGGTCAAGGCTGAAGGAGAAGATTGTCAGATCCACTTTGAGCCCTCTGGCGTCCCCGTTACACCTTGCTTTGTTTTTCTCTAAGATAGAAACGTGTACACGTATACACATATACACATATATGTGTAGATATCGGCCAGAAGGATTACCCCATGAGCACCGTGGCCATACAATACGTGGACGCGAACTTGGATAACGACGCCAGTTTCGTGCAGATGTTATGATTGTCTGGTTT